AACAAACCACGTTAGTCTGAGCCCCTTCCCAAATCCACTCAAACTTCTCTGACCGCCCTTGCGCGGCCTTCTCTTGGTTCCCAGCTACTGCTACCGGGGATATGATGGACGTCACTTAAAGCCACATACAACATATAGTGACACAAGTAGCACCAGAGTTGCTTGAGGAGGAGACAGAGCCCAGGCCACAAGTGGCGCAAAGACCAATCTCGAGCCTGTATCAATTTGCCTCCCCCATTCACTACGACGTGTTGCAAAGCTGCAACCAATGTGTCCCCTTCCCTCTCTCTCTCTTCACCGCTCTCACGGCAGTACCTCGTGGGCTGTGGAGTAAGTAGCCTCTTATAGTGGGGCACACAACACGACTGCCCTTCCTCACCCCTCCCCCCTGCCGATACAACGACCACGACCAAGACTGTTTTCGGAACGAATGCTTCCGCAAAAGAAGGGGCGGACATATACAGCGAACCTCGCATCGTATACCCGCATATTCGTATACCTGCATACTCCATGCTGCATGCACATCTTTGGGGGGGCGGGGGGCATTGGCGTCTGGCTGGCGTTGGCGTCTGGCCGTGTGTGTGTGGCGGCCTGGAATCTGTAGTGTATCATATATGTATTGGTAGTTTTAAGTTACGCCAATCTTAAATTGCCATTTTCCTGCTGGGAATCCACCTTTTTTTTTGGCGAACATTTTCGGCTATGTTGCTCTGCTTGTCATTCGTGCATACATACATATTTCACTTGCCTACATACTTATCATCAACGTATTTTATCATCAATGTACTTCCATACCGCCAAAAAGAAGATCAGGACCCGATCTGCTACGTGCACCCTCCCCCCTTCCGCCGCCATCGTATCCGTACCGCCCTGTTCTTGCTGACACGGCCCGGGCCTGTGCTAAAAGCCGCAGTGTAACAAAAAATAATGCCTCATTGCCTCATTGCTTTTTTTTCTGGTGCCTGACATAGCCCAATCTCACTTCCCTCACTCCTTTTCTTTCCTTCTTTCTCATGTCCAGCTATTGCATCATGCATGTCTGACGATTTGGCTCGGCAAAAGGCTTGTTATGACGTCCCAAGAGACTGGGCAATGTTGGCAGCGGCACGGGAAGGAGGACTGAGACAGCGCTCTCTCACGCTCACATCCTTCCATTTGATTGACAAAGAATTCATCACAAGTGCAGACAAAGACACTTGACTTTCTCGTCAGTTGTACGGAAAAGGATTGACATGAGCCATGGATCACATAAAGAATGGACTAATATCGAAACATCCCGTCATCTTTAAAGCGAATACAGTCTTTCCTTAGTCCTACATACACACACAACTTATACATACGCAGTTAACCCCAACAAAAAAGATAACAGAAAAACAAAAAGAGAGCGAACGCGATCAACAGACACTACTCTACAGGGTCCTCCTCCAGGAGCACCTTGAAGCTAAACGGCTCAAAGGGTACACCATCACCAATAAAATGCTTGCTCATGGCTTCGACCCAGTGCAGACGCAGCGAATGCAACATGGCACTAGTACCCTCCATGACACACAGCACAGCCACCGTGAGTGCGAACCAGAAGTAGAACACAAACACCATGACAAACGCACCCGCAACACCCGTAAACGCAAACGCATTCTTCATCGTCATCTCCCACAGCACAATCGACAGACGCTGATGGGCGAGCGACAGGGCCCACAGACGGAGGTAAGACGCAGTGTGCGACACGCAGTTGAGACAGAATTCTGGTTCCCAAATGTTAGCAGACGATTCCTTTTATTCAACGCATGTGCCTCAAACTTACCAATCGTGTGAATGACCTGGTGGATCATGACTTCGCTAAACTCAAACTCTTCGTGCTCTTCACCATGGCCAATGTCTTGGGTAATCATGGCGATGCCGTCGTCGTCATCTCCAAAGCTGTCACGGCCACCGTTCAATGGACGGCCGTCTTCTTCATCGTCATCCAGAGCGCTGACGCGAGTGCTCTCGCCGATGCCACGGTAACCCAGAGCACGCGCCTTGTTGTGCTCATAGCGAAGGTAGAACGGCTTCAAGAACAACAGGACAGGAACGCAGGCAAGAGCCATCAGAACCAAGATGACTTGGATGGTAGCTTGGCCGGGGTAGAGCGGCTTTGTTCCAGCCTCAAGGGTACCGGGGCTCAGGAACATGTAGATCAACATGTTCAACAAACTAGGTGGGCTTTCGCCACGGGCAGGCCAGTCAATGCACCACTTGTACACAATCGTAAAGGAGAGGTAACCGAAGATGGACTGGAAGAAGATCATACCAGGGACAAAGTTGCCCCAGATATCAATCTTCGTCTTGAAGTAGCGGGCGTTGACAAGCGACCACATGAGCGAGAATGTCATGTGGCACCAACCGAGCAAGATACTGAGCTTCATCTTGTAACTGTTGGAGAATAGAAGGTCGTTCTCGGTGTCGTGCCAGCGGTAGTCCAGGCCGAACGGGTACGTGTAACCCTCGACACGGGTTGCGGTTGGGCCCTTGCCGTCGTTGTCCCACACCCACATGGACTTGAACCAGGGTAGACCAAGAGAAAAGGCGTCGCAGTAGAGGAGACCGGTGTAGATGGAGAAGATACCCATCATGAAGACAATATAACGACCGTAGAACATCATGGAGAACAGCTCGTCAAGCTTGCTGCGCTCAAGTCGCTTTTCAAAGTGAATCATGGCCATTGCTGCAAGAGTGAGGATAACACCGTGTCCGGCATCACCAAACATGACAGCGAACATGAACGGGAAGGTGACAATGGCTGGCAGAGCAGGATTGACCTCGCGGTACTTGATGGTTCCGTAAGCGTCGATGATGGTCTGGAAACCCACAGTGAACCTGTTCGACTTGAAGTAAGTCGGCGGCGTTTTGGTTGTCTTGATCTGGTTAACAATCGTTGGGACCGAGAGACCAGCACGCTCATTGACGTCAGACAAGGTTGACTTGATCAGTCCAAGGGAGTTGGTAGGAGCCCAAGCCTCGGCAATGAGCGTCTTGCGCTGGTGGTCGTACGAGAACTTGTTCAGCGTCTCGTATGTAGCCTTCTCTTTCTTGATAACGACCATCCATGCTGCAAGGTTACGTCCGATCGCGGTCAACTCAGCATCTAGCGTAGACTTGGTGTTCTTCAGGACACTAGCTAGGTCGCTCAAGCGAGTGTTGACTTCGCGGATCTGGTCCCGGCGCAGCTCGCTGTTCTCGTCCACGCTGTATAGATCGGCACCGAGCGACTCTGAGATCTTGCGGATCTTGGCGATAATCTCCTTGCCGTGAGCGAAGATGATGAAGACGTTCTTGCTGGTCTCCTCGTTGTTTTCGGGGTTGATGATGGGCTCGGGGATTTCCGACTGGTTCATGTACAGGTTACCACGAAGAGTACGCCACAGGATGCGTTCGAAGGCAGCGATGCGTTCGCGAGGAATGACACCAGCAACAAAACCGATGTTCATGACGGTGAAGGAGCGCTCAGCGCCCGAGTCGCCTTGTCCATTCTGTTCAACATCCTGAAGTAGCGGCGCGTCATCGTCATCGACAGATTGCCTGATTTCCTCAGTTTGGCCGCGCGCCCTGTCGAAGAAGCCGCCAGCCTCCCTCAGCACCCAACGCCACTCTGTGAGCTCCACTTCACGCTTCTTCAGTGTCTCGTAGCTCTCATTCAACGACGAGATCCTCTGCTCCAAGCTCTGGCTCTTGTCCGCGAGTTCATCAATCTCCGAGGCCGAAGGCGCGGTGAATGGGTTGTTGAAGTCATAGATGGAGCGCATCGGGATGCTGGATTTCTCCATCTGGCTGCGAAAGTATCGGAGCTGGCGCTCTACGTTGTCGAGGCGGCGAATCTCCTGGGTGAAGGTACGTTGGAAGGCCGTTGTCTCCGAGTTGAGCTGTCACCGCTTGTGAGCTTCGTGTCCCATCGCATTCATCCACAAGCTGCACCAGAAGCTGCAGAATACGTCCATAAAACTTACATCTCTGAAATCCATGACCCCAAGCTCTCCAAGAGCCGAGACGACCTCGCGACCAATCTCATTGGCGATGTAGAGTTGGGTCAGGGACATGTCCGCCGAGCGGAACATGGTGTCCTTGGTGGGCGCCATGATGGCGGGTTGAGAGACAAGACTTCGAGGATGGGGTGCTTGTCTCGGGGGTTGATGGGTCGACGCGATTTGCGGGATGGTGGTTGATGGAGAGCTGCCTCGAATGCAGGCGATGATGCGGCGAACCAGGTGCTTAGCGTCCTGCTGCGCGCCAAGCCTTGCTATTGATGTCACTTGCTTTTTCCGACCACGCAGCTCACGTGTTTCGTCCATGGTCAGCCAACGTCACCGAGCAGCAGTAGATGCACTTTGTTTGGCTTTAAAGCCACGCGGCTATCAACCAGTAATGAATTATCTGAACAGACATCGCATGCCTAAAAGCAAATCTCCTAAGACGTGTTTGCCTCATCTTCCAGTGCTTGAATACAACGCTACACGCCAACATTATACAACAAGTAGCAAGCTAGCACTTAAAGCACGCTGATAAATCAAAAGGCAAGGAACTTGAATGATGCTTGATTAACACAACAAACAGGTACCTCAAAGGAATGAAAGCCCACTGTGCCGTTTAAACCACAAAACGCGACAACGCAGAACACCATGCATCCATAACCCGGTCATTTATTGTGAGTAAAAGATTTTGAACCAGAAAAGGATAAAAAAAAGAGAAGAGATTCAAAGAATAAAGAACATCAAAAGAGAAAAAAACCGGATGCCGCCTCCCACAAAGTTCGCTATTGAGTTTTTTGAGACCGCTCGCTGTCGTTAAGAGTGGATAACTAAGATGCGCTGTAGAAACGAACTTCGTCCAGGAAACACCAGGTATCGTAATCAAGAACCCAGATACGCCATGCTGATTGCAAATGAGAAATTCGGATAGTGGTGGGCAATATGTGCAAGACAAGACGATAGGCCTCAGAGATGTAGAGGAGAGATATAGTCTGTCATTCATTGCTGAGGATAGTAGCCTGCTGGCTGCATTTGCTGTGGGTAGTAGTAGGCACCATCGGGCCCTGGCGTCATCATGCCTCCCATGCCCGGAACAGCATAGTTAGGCTGAGCGTAATTCTCTGCCGGTGGGGCTGGGTAAAGTTGAGCCGAGTCGACGTAGTATGTCATACCGTTGGACTCGTAAGCCACCATGTTGGGTTGACCGGCAGGAGCTGGAGGAGCAGCGACTGGGGGAGCAGAAACCGGCATGACGTAACCAGGTTGCTGTGCGCCAGGAACAAACATAGGCACCATACCCGCCGGTGCCATGTATTGCGGCTGTGCACTATTTTGTGGATAGTAGTAGCCTTGTGGAACAAAGGCTTGCGGTTGAAAGCCAGGCTGAGCATAAGGCTGGAAGGCTGGCGCATGGATAGCCCGTTCGGGAATATTGTTGAGCGGAGTTCCCGTAGATACCTGGCTTGGATAAGACGCGTGACGTCCATGTTGATAGAATGACTGATCAGGAGCAGGGGCAGCTCCATTGATGTGCGCAGGCACTTGTTGATGGAAAGGTTGTTGTTCTTGCTGCTGGGGTGGGTTGAAACTCAATGACGCTGGTGACTCAATTCCAGCAACAGATACAGTCTTTTGTGGGCGAGGCTGGTGCATGGGGAGCTGGCCTTGCCAGTTTTCTCGGAAAGCCGGCTTCTGTGGGAGCGGGTATGGTGGCTGAACAGCACCATTTGTAGGCGAGATCATGGAAGGTCCGGTTGACATCCTGGGACCTCCAGGTGGAAGACGTACCACTGGACGACTGGGATCAACGAACCCGCCATTACGTGACATGATGGAGCCAGCAGGAGAGACCAGGTTTTCACGACCAATCTCGCGTGCAATCGATGACCGCCTGCTCATTGCTACGCTCGGCGAGTATACACTACCTCCATATGCACTTGTTCGCCTGCTCGAGAAACCCCCGCCAAAAGATCCAAACCTACCCCGTCCCCGTCCAAAGCCCTGCTGGTTGGGCCGGAGTGCCCGCGGGATGAAGATGAAGGAGCGCTCAACTGTGGGGAAGATGTAGCGCGGCGGGGCAGGCGGAAGTGAGATACGGACTGGCTTATCGCGACGGAGCGGGGGTCTGTGGTTGGGGAGACGGGTATGTTGCTTGATAGGTACATTCTGGAATTGTATAGGGCCCTTCATGTTTGGCAAGAATACTCGAACCATGGCATTGTGCGTATGAACCGTGGTGGAGAAGTTACGAGCCTGCGAAGGCTTTTGGTTGGACCCCGGAGGTACTCGAGAGGCAAAGGCGGGCGCGTTCGGTGGTTGCTGCTGGGAAGCGGCTGGAGGTGGGCCAGGCTGATCGTGGGAGCCCGGTGCATTGACGGTCTCGTGCAGATCATGCTGCCAGGGCGAGTCAGTAGCCTCCGAAGGCTGTGGCCTCATACTATGATGAATGTCAGTGTCGAGCTCCAGCTTGATTCTCTGTGCCTGCACGTACTTTGCTGGAGAGAAGGGCCCCCCGATGGGAGCACCCCGCCCCCTTCCGCGACCAGCGGGCCTGAAGCCATTCTGACCGGGTGCGTGGCGCTGGTCGTGCATGAAGAAGGCCCCGCGATTGGGGATGAAAGCCGGGTCAGAGTCGCGTTTCTTCTTGTATTCCTCGTGCTCCCGCCGCCGGCGCTCCGCCAGCGTCTCTGTCCGCGAGGAAGCCACACCAACAGCTGGCGCCGTCTCTGGTGCTGCCGTACCAGTCTCAAAGTCAATCTCGTCAGGTTCCTTTCCATCTTCACCAATCTGAAGCCCGTTCATCATGATCTCCGTCTCTTTGACAGCGGAGAAATCCACGTCGGAGCGAGCAATGGGCGGAGAAGGTTGCCGCTGGCTAGCATTCTGTCGAGGTTTTGCATCACGCGGGCCATTTGATTTGCGCTTTGGCTTTCCTTGGGTAAGGGAGGGGGCACTGTCGACCTCACTAAGGTCGCTGTTGTCGGCATCGGCGTCCTCGTCGACATCGCTGAGCACTGAGGCGTCACTCTGGGAGTCGTCGGCCAGAGTTGCTACCGACTGGCTCTCATCTTCGTCATCTGTCCGCCTGCGACGCGCAATGTTGGTGGTTCTCTTACGGGCGGGAGCCATGATTGCGGGGGTCTGGGTAGTGGCGGAGGTCGAGGGCGCGATGGAGTCGGCGTGGGGTGGTCCTTGGTCGACTCGTGAACGGCGAGGCGATGAGTCGGCTGCAGAAGGCGTCCGGAACAAGGGGCCGGCAGCGTAAGAAGCGCCGAGTTTGCAAATCCGGCAGGTGCAGCGATTGCGGTCGTGATGGAGCGAGATTGTGTGTTGGGCGTGAGGGCTGGGATGATTCGGTGGGTGATGTCTGACGCCAGAAAATGCCCATGACGGAGCTTGCCGTGCGGGAACGACTGGTCGCGGAACCGGTTGATGCGCGCTACTCCACACCAACAACACACCGTCTCAAACAAAGGCCACTCATCAACAATTCCCCTCCCTGTTATATTTGTAGCCATTGTTCATTGTATCGGCGCCATCTGATCGCCTTGGTCAGCCCGCACATTGTTTCTGCTTCATCGCATTCTCTGTTTGGCCGCCAAACGTTGTCCGTAGCTGATTGTTTAGGCTACGAACCCCCATACATCAATTGTGCCATCATGAGCTAGCCGAATTACGAGGATGTGAATATGTAAACATTTTCAGCGCTATCTACCTGCACAGACCCAATGTAACCTGGCCTGGGGCTCATACATATTTCCATTGAGACCTCTCGCCCAGTCCATGCCAGACCCTATCCAGCGCCGCTCAAATGCTACCCACTGAATGCTATGACAAACGCCTATAAATGCTTCGAGACCTGCCGGAGTGGGCAGCTCCATCGCCCGGGTATGCATGCAAATGTCCGAATCGTGACATGAAAACAAAAAAAACATGAAAAAGTGAAGGAAACGCTCTTATTATACAAGCCTACCTTTGTCTCCACAAAATCATCCGGCAACTATTGCTGAAGATGCGGTAGGCCATGGTAGTGAAACAGTATTTGCTCAAAAAGAAAAATCATTGGTTCAAGTCGTGGATGTATGTGCAGTTGTCGCCCTTGTTGCATTGGCCCTTTTGGAAGAACTTGCATGCGAGCACTTTGTGAGGCTTGTGATCTCCTCGGTTCTTGGGTCGCTTTCCTTGGTTGCGGTCGTTGATGCCATTGCTATCGTCGCGTTGCCGCTTGGTGCCAGCGTTGGGTTGCTGGTTGTACTGGGATTGTGTCTGAGTTTGATATGTAGTATCTTGCATCGGTTGAGACCATGCGGCAGCATCAGTTTGCTGGGCTGGGGGTGGAAACGTGAAAGGAAATGGTGGGAATCCAGTAGGTAGTGGAGGGGGAGGAGGGAGTGCACCGCCAGTCGCTGCTTGCATATTGGCGATCAAGGCAGCAATGTCAAGGCTTACACCGGGTTGTTGAGGTGGGTTTTGCATTGGAAACGACGCGAGTGGTGGGGCCTGGGGAGGAGGCTGGCCGTTACTGATGGAGTTGAGGAGGTTTTGAAGACCGGCGGCGTCGAATGTAGGAGCGGCTGCGGGAGGCGGAGGCGTGTACGTGTTTTCAGCCGGAGCTGTTGGGGCAGGGGGAGCGGCTTGAGCTTGGTTGGTAGCCGACAATTGCTTGATGATGTTCTCCAGTTGACTGAAGTCCGGCACAGTCGCTGCCACAGGTGGTTGTGGGCATTTCCTTAGGACTGTCTCGGGCGGTGGTCCAAAGTTGACGACAGGAGCAGTAGATGAGTTCTCCTGCTCTGCGGGCTCTTTTGGAGTCGGTGGAATGTCGTCATTGCTAGAATAGTAGACCATTAATGTAGCGTTCTCGCGCTGCATGTTGGCCTCTTTCTCAGGACAGATGGGTTGCTGGAGACCTCCTCCATACGGCGCGTAGTTTCGTTGACGTTCTTCAGGGTGTACAACACTAAAGTCAACTTCGGATGGTGGTGCCCATGACCGCTGTTCGCCATCCAGGTCCTCGTCATCGTCGTCAAGGTCAAGCTCTTTATGTTGCTTGAACATACGTCCCTCTCCACCAAGGTCGCCAGCATCCCGCACGAGGTGATGTTCTTTGTGGTCCATCTCTTCATCGTCGGCCTCGTGGTCGAAGTACTTGATCTCTACCAGTGATGTATCCGGCCGCCAGGCTACACGCAGATGTCTGCGAGACTCTTTTCGTAGCCGTTTGGCCTTTTCTTCTTCGGTTTCCACTGGTAGAGGTTTCTCGGATTTGGTGGGCGCAATTTCTTGTTCCTTGGGTTTTTGGAGCGATGCCATTGTCTGGGCAAACGAAAAAGCAGGCTTTGCCGCAGGCGTCGCCACAACCTTCTTCTCCTTTGTAGCCGGGGTGGTAGCTTTGGCTGATGCGGCGCCCTTTGCAGTAGCCGAAGCTGGTGTTGTCTTCTTGCTTGCTGCATTGAGTGAGGCAAAGATACCCGAAGGCTTGCTGGTGACTTGGCTAACACGCGTCTTGACGGGTGCGGGTGCTGGCGCTGTCTTCTCTCCGGGTCGTTTCTGTGTGGTTGTAGCAGGAGCAGCACCCGCTTTCGCGCCTGGTGCTGAAGCAGTCTTTGGGGCTGAAGCGGCGGCATCAGATGCCTTTGGCTTCTTCATCATTGCTGACTCATTGGCCGAACGGTTTGTAGCATCAGATGCCGGTCGCTTAACACCCTTGCCATCTGCCGATTCAGTCTTTGGCGGAGGGCTTGCTTTTGCCTTTTTAGAATTGGCGGCAGCGCTGTCCATCACTTGCTGTATAAAATTCTTATGCTTATCATTTGCGTGTTTCTTCATAGACGCAAGTGCTTTGATAAGCTTAGTCTCTTCGAGGAGCTCAGAAGTCAGTGTGCCGCATCGCGAGAGTACCTCGTAGATGACTGCGGACAATGGGCCATCGTAATCTTTACTATGGAATCGGTTCGCCAAGAACTGGTAGCACAGATACAGGAATGGCTTGATCTGCCCTAACTGGTAAAGCACATCAGGATGTGCAGACTGCAATGCAGCCTCAAGAGCAGACTTGAGAAGGTCACGTTGACTCGTGACTCGACTCTTGAGTACCGGCAGCTCACCTGTCTTCTTTTGCTCTTCGGCCTCCGTTACAGCTTTGCTGTCGGCTCGCCACCGCTTTTGGATGGTGTTGAGCACCTCCCAGACCTCACGCATACTAATCTTGATCTTTTCAGAGCTTGGTGAAGATGTGGAAGGATGCCATGTAGCCTTGACAACATCATATCGAACGGCGGCGTCAGGGTCCTCTGGCCGCGACGCAGGGATCGGCATCTCCTCTTCTTCTTCATCAGAAGAGTCTGTATCGTAGTCAGATGACTCAGAGGAACTGGCACTGTCACTGACTTCTCTCTTCAACTCTGTGGGTTTCCTCGCAGAGTTTAGAGCTTTTGAGTGTGACTTGGAGGCGAGTTGCTTGGCGCGGAGCTTCTTGCTGTCTGCCCCTGCCTTTTTCAGATCCTTGAGGGAATTTCGAGCAACATAAACTGGAAGCGCAGCTATACACATGTCAGAGGTTGTTTCTTGCAGCATCATTTTTACTCGTTCAGGCTTACTTCTATTTGTTGCCAGATGAAAGGGTTCATTTCCCAGAGTCACGAATTTATTCAACGGAGTAGAATTAGTGGCCTTTGCCAAAGCAGCTTGATCAACAACATAGAGACCACCCGATTTTCTACCCTTTGGTATTTCAAACTCAGGGACAGGCACTGGCTTCGCAAATGAGGCCGGTGCAGGGCGCTGCTGAGTAAATGTCTCTGCAGTAGGCTTGGGCAGCTGCATCATGTTAGTTTGAGTTGAGTCTTTGTTCGTTTGGTGAGGTTAACTTACTTGATAAGCAGATATCGGAGGGCGACTAGTCCGAAGTGAACCAGTGTCCTGCTGTAGAGCTTGCGGCGTCACTGTGCCAACATGGCTTTGAGGAGTCACAGTGCGCATTGGCATCTGGTAAGGAGAGTGTTGTTGCTGGCGGACGGCATTGGGATCCATGCCCAGCGACGGGTCAACATTCGAGGCCTGACCATAGTTGGCCAAAGGACCTTGTTGGCTGAACTGGCCATACTGGTAGGGCGACTCTGTACGCAAAGCATGGTTCTGAGCAGCATACGATTGGCTGATGGCGTTGAAGGGTTGTTGTGCAAACGAGCCAGGGTGCCAGTTCTGGCCCGATGCCGTCGGCGGCAGGGGTGAGTGCTGGTGTAGCTGGGCCTCCCACGAGGGGGTGCCGTAGCGGTCGACAGAAGAAAAGAGGTGCTGGTAGGATGGATCGGCGTAGACATTCTGGCCTTGCAACGGCACCTGGTCAGTGGGCACGTGATTTGACGCCATGATGTGTGGCGTGTGTGTGGAGGGGAGGGATGTCTTGGCTAGCCAAAGTGTCAGCTGTCAATTGCAGGGTTGTGATTGGCTGACAACGCACAAGTGTCTGGGACAGGCCAAAGGGGATTAATTAGGCGACGATGCAGCAGCACTAGGCGCTAAGCAGACTGGCGCAGAGTCACGAGCGTAGCAGGATGCCCGGTTCGGGAGAATGTGAAGCGGAGAAAAAAGGTCGATAAAACACCGGTTTAGGCGGTAGCGTCTGGTTGCTGTCTCTGTCGGCCTGCAGCGCTTCCAGGTTGCTGTCTCTGGGGGGTTGGTGGGCAGATGATGGAGTAGTAGATGCACACCCAAGGTGCAGCCGGCCCTCACTCACAACGAACGCAGACGCCTGCGAAGCCGAGTCGGCCAGTCCACGAAAGCGTAGAATTGGTTTTTATGAGCTGGCACTTTGCCTCGCGTATTATGCGATGAGGAGCAGGAGCACACTTGCTTGCTGATGCGTCACTTGACGTTTTGCATGCGCGCGCGCAACCAGAGCACAACACACGCGGCGGATGAGGCCTGCTTGACGCGCCCCCGTCCGGTTGGCACCGAGCAACTGTGGGCCGCCTCGCGCAGGAGCTTGGCCAGATTCTCTCTGTGATGCGAAGCCTGTCGAGTCCAAAGACGGAGCTGGGATTAGTAGCAGAAGTTGAAGATGACGGTCACTCTGCCTGCCCTCCGCAACCCAAGCCTGTTTCCCGACAAACACCGCTGCCAGCCTGAGCGCACACTTCCCCCAAAGCAAGGACTCGAAAGTAGAATCTAGCCTCAGAATCAGATGCCCTTATTAGGTGGGCGAGAGTTCACTGAGAAGTAGCATGAGTGTCAAGAGCGAAGAAGGGGGGTGGGTTGTTGTGGGCGAGGTGAGTTGAAGAGCGAGGGAGCGCGGCGAAGGGGCGAGCTCGTTTTGAGAGCCCGCCCGCTCGCCAAGTAGCGCGCCGCGCTAGTCCCAGGCGGGGCAGGCAACCTGGCCCACCAGCATCACCAAACACTCCCATCCGCCCGCGAACAGCAAGCAGCGCGCAGCAGGCACTGGCCAAGGCAGACGCGCCACCGTGGTCTCTTGCCTATACACATACACACGCCCCCTTGCGCATGCCAAACACCTGACACTCGGCGGGTGCCACGACACATTAGAACACAATGGCCGTCTCACTGCGGGACCGCCAGATAGGCACGTCTTCGCCCTCCCACCTGCACCATCGCCAGCACCACTGACAGATGCATCCTAGCCTCAATTAAACGCCTGCTCAACCTCAACCCCCCGGCCGACGGCGACGCCGCTCAGGACGAGTCGAACGAGCCCACGAATCCCGACATAGCATGGCGTAAGTCGCAGCGTCATAGCGTTGGCCTGCCACTTTGAAGACACAAGTGCTGAGACTGCTGTCCGAATAGGTGTTCTGGTCTACGACGATGCTGCCAAAGCCGTCGTCAGCTCCGTTCTGCGGGTCAATGACCTGAGGGCGGCAGGTGTATGAACGGACTCTCTCCAACACTATAACGGTCTACTGAACACCATACAGGTCACTGTGCACTTGAATCTCAAGTCGCGCCGGAGCCCCATCCCAGCACCTGGAATCGTGAGCAACCCTGTCCCCACCAAATGCGTTGCGCATCCCATTGAACACGCGATAGCATTTGGTGATATGGCGACCCCACAAAGCATAGGCTGACCACCCCACCAGTATCTCATGGCACCCACTGCTGAGAACCTAGCCCTCATCACGAAGGATCTGAACGACGCTCTGTACACCCCCGCATACATCAACTTCCTCTCGAGTGTGCCCCGCCACTTGCTAGAATCATGGGGCGCCGAATTGGCGACCATGCCGGAAGCTGCTGGCAATCTGGCGCAGATTTACGATCAGTACGAGATGCTGGAGAATGAGATTCAGCAACTGCTAATTCGACCCAAAGGTATCTGAACTTTGTTACATTGGGCCATGATCAGTTCAGGTACGTTTGTATTTCCTAAACTATGCGCCACTCCCACTCACTCGGTCGTAGTCTCAACATTGATCAGTCTTACTACCGTCTGAACTCGTCTAAAACCGAAGATGCAGAACTCGATGAGCACATGGATCGCATCGTCTCAGGGCTCTTTTCTGTCGTCGCTACCATGGCCGTCGTCCCAATTATAAGGGCTCCTAGTGGTGGTGCCGCCGAACTCATTGCTGCCAAGCTCGACCGAAAGCTACGCGATCATGTACTCAACAACAAGGAAAGCCTCTTCGCATCATCATCAACAGCCTCCCGCCCATTGCTCGTCATCGTAGACAGGAACGCCGATCTCAATCCAATGTTCAGCCACAGTTGGATATATCGTACGCCAGACACCTTCCCCATACCAAGGCTAGAGCTGACTAGAGCATGTAGAGAGTCTCGTGTACGACGTCTGCAATTTCCACTTGAACAAGATCGAAGTGACTGTTCCAAAGGATAAGAACAAGCCAGAGAGCGGTACCAAAAAGCAGTCGTACGACTTGGCAGCAACCGATTACGTAAGTACTCATCCATAAGCCACATCTGACCAAGTACCTAACTACCCCTTGCATGTAGTTTTGGAACCGCAATGCTTCACAACCCTTCCCAAATGTCGCAGAAGAAGTGACAAACGAATGGACAAAGTACTCGGAAGATGCGGACGCGCTTACCAAGAAGACGGGGTCATCGTCATTGGACGACCTTTCAGGAGAAAGCAATCATTTCGCAGCACATCTCAAAGGCGCAATTTCTCAACTGCCGGAACTGCGAGAAAGGAAGGCTACTATTGAGGCTCACATGTCTATCCTCGAAGCTGTGATGGAGGGCATCAAGGAGCGCAAACTCGATGAGTTCTTCCAACTAGAAGAAGAGATTGAAAAGCAGACCAAATCATCCGTCATGGAGGTGCTCAAAGATCCAGCCAAGGGAAATGATCCCATGGATAAGTTCAGATTCTTCTTGCAGGTACGATGCGCACTTTAAAGGTAATTGCATGATTGCGCTAACATGGTCAATTTCTAGTGGTACTTGAAGACAGAACAAGAGGTATCGCGTACAGAGCTAGAAGGCTTTGAGAACGCTCTCAAAGCCGCCGGCGTAGACACGGAAGCCCTTGCGTACATCAAAACAGTACGCCAGATTACACAAATGAGCAATCTCTCAACTGCCGCTCCCACACAGCCTGCTCAGGCATCTTCACAGCTGTTCGGCGGCTTCACTAGTCTTTCATCAAGGGTAACGGACCGGTTCAAGGAAGCTGGTTTGGGCGCCAACTTTGAAGGCGTGCTTTCGGGCATCAAATCATACCTACCTGCCAACCAAGATCTTACAATCACCAAAATTACTGAATCTCTAATGGACCCTCAAAATGCTACAACCAGCGCGCTCAACAAAACAGAGAACTACCTCTATTTTGACCCCCGATCTGCCAATGCACGAGGCACCCTACCTCCTGCAAGCCAGTCGCGGAACCAGCAAAGTACTGTTGGACGCGGAATCGATGCAACATTTGGACAAAGGCGACAGGGCTTCTCAGAAGCCATTGTCTTTCCTGTTGGCGGTGGCAGCATGGACGAGGAGACCAACATCCAGGCATGGGCCAAGCGCACAAGCGCTGCAGCTGGTACTGGTCCTAAACGAAGAGTTGTATACGGTAGCACGAAGTTGTATTCTCCTCGCGCGTTTATCGAGGAGGAACTTATTCCTCTCGGCAAGGAGAGTACGTAAGCTTCGCCTTCGTTTTCGACAAAGTATTGAGACCGGGGGAAAGGGAAAAAAAGGGCATGATAGACATTTAGTTTTTTTTGGCACATGGCATATATGTGTAAAATATTGATACATAGTCATGATATTGTAACATCCTCCCTGTATTACGTGGTGCTACTATTCTTTTTTTACTTTTTCCCTTGGCTTGACGTTTACTTCACTCTACGGATTATTACTATTGCATCTTGCATGCATGCATGCGGGTTGGGGCACACAAAAAACCACCCCTCCCCCCTCCTCTTCCCTTACTTACCCTTGTACCCTTTGTGTCACCGCCACGTGCGTTCATCGATGCATACGCATGCACTGTCAAACATCAAGGGGAACCACCCACCACCCACCTACCAGCCCCTCCCCTTGGGGGGATTCGGGGACAACGGGGACAACGGGGGCAACGGGGGAGGAAGAGAAAGCGAGGGGAAGGGGGTGTGGTATACGTTACCCCCCCCCCGTCCTTTCTCTTCCCCCTCTAAACAGGCCAATATCTTACTATATTTACTATACCCTTTCCTGGGGGGACTATGTATCTCCCGCTTGATTCCCCTCCTATTTATTTATGTTTTGTTCTCGGAGAGAGAGGATGACGGAAGTGTGTATTATCTTCCCGATCTCTTAAGTCGAAAAAAAAACACTCGCATCCGATGTATATCGGGATTGAATATAGATGTACAGGTAAGGGAAGGTAAATGTGGTGTGGTGCTAAGAGGATGATCAAACGAGAGGCCCTACATACGCGGGAGACGCGGGAATAGCTAGGGAGGATGAGGGTAGTGGGTTTTTTTGGGGCTGGCTGACGGAAGCAAGATGCATGGCATGGCGTACGTGTATGCACGATGGGGGCAGGAATGCAAGATGGGCTTTTTTGCTTTTTTGTGTGGCTTCTCGTAATGCTGATGGTTGGGTTTGAACAGCCTGCATGTTGCAGATAGAGTATTTGTGGGGGGTAGGAAGGGGGAGGGTGTGTGTTTCAGATGTTGATGCTTACCTTTTCTCATCGGCATGGTGGGGATCGTGTTTGCTTTTTTCGCATTTCTGGGCGGAATTTTGAGGGTAGGTGTGGGGGCTTGTCAGATATGGGTATCCGGAGGATTGTTGGGTTTTTTTGCTTTTTGCTTCGATGAAGGTTCTATGGCTGGGGGGGTTGTTGCGTAATGCATCGAAGGATTGCGGGTTTGGACTTGACTCGTGAAGGTGTGTGTGGGTATGTGTGGATGGGGACGAGGGGGGTGGTGAGTGAGTATCGGAAGGATTGATGTGAGATGCAGGGGCAAGTGGATAAGGGTGTAGAAACCTTCTAGAAGGTGTGGAGCCTTCTTTTGCTTTTCCTTTTTTGTGGGAATCTGGGCATGCTGTGAAACGGGTGGGGAGGGTATTGTAGTCGTATACTCGTACTCGTGGTCATGGCCGTATGACGAGGTTGCGCAGGTGGAGACTTGGCCTCAACAAAAGAAAGTAGAGGATGAGCGCTGAGGGCGTTGGGGGTAGTCGATGCGAGGTTGATGGCTTCGGGGAGAAGAAAGCCAAGGCAGGGTCCAATACTATGGTGTAGGAGTGTGTGGTCGAATCAGACTGCGTTGCGAGGTTGGCGTACCGAGGCTGTGCCTGATGCTGCATTCGTTCTTGATTCTTCCTTTTTGTTGTTGTCGTTGACGTTGAGACGGTGTAAGGATTGGAAAAGAAAGAAAGAATCGGATGCGTGGTACAGATAAAGGACGTGTTGGGAGCGCGCAATGCCGAAATATATCGGGCTGAGGCTTGAGAATCAGATTTTCTACGGTTGCTTTGTCAATGGCGTTTGTGTGGTTGCGATTCCTGTTGCTTCATGATGTCGGTGGGCTTGAGGGTTTTGGGCCGAGGTACGTATGATGGTGTTGCGTCACGAGGAGGGGAGGCAAGGGATAAAGATGGACGACGTAGTATACGTCTTACGCAACCTCGGCTGTTGGGACAAGGCTATACTGAGTAATGCTGGACAACAAGGTCAATCTTGACTCAGTGGCGGGATGGATGTTTGGGAAAACAACTGCCGAAGGTAACGTTACCAGAGCGGGAAGAAATACAAGATGGATTACGGGATAACAAGATCTGGGCAAGTATACGGAAATCGGTGGAGATAGAGCAGGTATGAAATATTCAAGTTTGATATTGTAACATGAAAGGTAGTAATATACAAGTGTTCTACCAAGTCTATAAGCCCCCGTCTATAAATGCAAAGTCATCAATCTATAGTGTTCATTAATAAGTATCATCAAGGTTTCGTTAAGCTGAAGAGTGCCGAATCAAGAGAAGAAGATTTTGAAACAAAATGGAGTGAGCTCAACGACGTGAAGGCCCATACACTCGATGGTTCCTGACATCCATTTCCCCACTAGTAGCCAATCTAGCGTTGAAATTCACATCTCCAAAGATAGCACCTTTAGATTGCAAAGTCCAGCTGACGGTGGGTTTAGGGCTTCCAGTGTAAGGATTCATGCTGGTCAGAATCCAACCGCGCGCCAGGACACTGTATTCGGATCCTTGTACGGCCTTGGGCACGGCAATAAGCAGTGTCTTGGAGTGCTCAAAAGGGGCAAAAATAATAGCCTTGCTCCCTTGTGTGGGTGGGCCGGCGTAATCATATGGAGCTGAGGAGGAGGGTGCGGATATGATGAGGGGACCATGTGTGCGCTCCGAGGCGCCTGAAGGCCATGGGATCCCCGATGCAATTAGAGTTGAGAGGAAATGCACAAGTGCCGTCATTGCAGCCTGGCCCTCGGCAAGTAAAATATAGTTTTGCAGGATAAGGTGTGGGTTCAGCAGCACCTCAATGGTATAGGGTTCCATGCGGGGCGCGTTAGACTCTTGGAGGCTGGAGATGACATCTACCACCCATTGTGGCCCGCACTGGAAAACACAGGCTAGTGTCTGAATGAAAATGTTGCGCAAGGCTGGTGTGCGCGGGTGATTCGGTGCCTGAGAGAAGCCCCACAGTCCAGATCCTGGTATTTGATATTGGACACAGAGATCGATGAGCATGCGTGCTCGGGCAACGTGCGATGGAAAAGAAGCACTGGGCTGGGTGCGATGTGGGAGGTCTAGGAAGATGAGGTCCAGCTGTGCGTACTCCGCTCTGCCGTCAGTCGCTTGGACCAACTGGCTTGCGTGTCTGGGAAAGTGTGGAGGTACTCGAGAGGAGCTAACATCCAAAGATGTTGGTCGACACAACCATGAAGTGGATCCGTCATGGAGCTGTAGTGGTGTGCCAATAGTGCAGAGTGCAACAGGGTCTCGTGCCGCGATCCCAACTAGGAGCAGCGAGCGAAGACATTCGTCCTCAAGATTGGGTCTCGAAAATGGATTTGGGGGAGCCAGGGCCAGAGGCAAACCAGAAGCGTTCAGCGCAATGCTGGTCTTGTCTCGGTTCGCGTCTAGTCTTCGTTGGTACTCTGGTAAACGCGGATTTCCTCCAGCCTTCATGCGGAATATGTCGGCAACCATTGATATGGAACATGTTTCTCTTGAAGTTGGGCAGTGTTGGCTGTCTGGTGTTCGAAGTACAGAGAGGTCTCCTTTGATGAATGCGTCTTGCTGTTGGAAGAAGTCCAGCAATGAACGAAGCTTTGGTGATAGGTTTGGTGTGAAGTGGATGACTTCGCTTGCAAGGCTCAAAAGATGAGTGAAGAAGGCTCCAGTAAAACGTACGACTGTCTGCACTTCATCTTCGTAATGCCGTAAACAAGGCACTAGAAAAACATGACTCTGTCCCATTCGCATCTCATGGGCGCACCATGCGCGGTCAAACCACTCAGAAGATAGAATGCGTTGTACCAATGTGTTGAACATCTCATACTGCTGCATGAAAGGTGGATGTAGCCCAGAGTTTGGTTGTTGGTCCAGGGGTACTTGAGAGTAATTGTACTGCTCAACGTAGTAACGCAGAAACCGTTCTTCGTCTGGCGAAACAACAATGTCGTCCAGTACTACAATGACTGCTCGTGCATTTTTGTAGACATTGTCAATGACTCCGATGGCTGCATTCTTCTCGACTTCGTCGTCTTGTTCGATGCACACCTGGTCATACCACAGCCCTTCCCCCACGCCCCTTTCTCTTACAACGGCTTGGAAAAGTGCAGAAGTAGTCGGTAGTGGGAATTGCTCAATCTCCTTTAGCCATCCAAAAGGAAGATCTCCAACAGGTGTCAGAACCTTTCTCGGCGTAGTGCTTGCAGCATGCTTCCTGCAATAGCTAAGAGCGATGTATCCTCCCTCCTCCCCGTGAAAGCCAATATCGTTGATCAGCCGAAAGGCAAAATTGCTCTCGCAATGTTCCTTTGGGATAAACTCTTTGACTACCGAGGGTGCTAGGCGGCTGAGATCGGACAAGAGTGTGGCAGCGTCGATGTCGTCTTCGAATGGTATTGTTGACCATTTGTGTCGGTTAAGAAGGGCATCTCGTGTAGAGGGCTTGATGAGTTTGGCGTGAAGACTTGATGTGTCCAGGTCCGACTCATCAATATCAATGAATTCGCACTGTCCGAAGCGGGCGAACCACTGAGGTGATGTCTGCAAAGCCATGTGAATATACATTTCCCGGTGGTTGTGATGGAAAAGTAGTAGTAATGTCTGATGCACAAATTGTGCTTCGTGGCAAGGCAACAGATCTATTTGACGTTGAGCCGCTCATCCCAACCCTCTGACCCATGGTCCCTCGGGACACACAAAGCCTTCCGATGCACAGCCGTATCCTCACTCTTGGGCCCATCTGGGAGCACGCGACAAGTGGACGCCATGCATAATCGTTGTCTATCAGCCCACCAACGCCACAGGCGCACCGACTACCACATTGAGTATTTGCGGGGAAACACGAGGACTTGGCATATCTGATGACAAGAGATTAGGTTGTATGGGGCGTAGTGCAAGGTGTTGAAGGTTAGTAGGGTTTGAACGATCCAAATAGTCGGGTTGTCCTGTCTGATGGCACGGGCCTTTGCCGTAACGGCAACCCATGAGCATGACGTCGGCAAAAGCATCGGAAAAAGTGGCCATCATGAGAGAAAAAAGGAAATACACGATATGAAACATGCAGCTTCATGGGCCTGTCTCGTCTAACGGTTGGCTGCAGTATGATTGCCTGGCGCTAGAAATTCTAGAAGGAAAAAAGCAAAATAGTCTGCGCAGTACTGCAATTTTACACGGCATGGCAATTTCCGAATGTGTTGAGCTGCATGCAGAGGCATCGTGACAGATGTCGTGGTCTCTACAGAATCAAAAATAAACCAAGCCATGACAAGAGGGCGGGTTGCAATTGATCGTCACGGTCATAGTCGCGGTTAAGTTCAAAGCATTTCATGCATCATCGGGACGCGTATTCCGATAGATTGACGATAAGCCACTTAACCCAAAGAGTGAAGAGAGACCGATAGTTGGAAGGATATTGCCAGACTCAGCGATTACCAACCGGAGCAGGCGTCGTCCTCAATGGCCAAACAGCACGCGTTTCGCAACACCAAAACTCAAATCCTCAGGCTCGCAAACTCAGGCCGCCGCCACAAACTCCAACCGAAACGCATCAATGACAAATCTTTCGACAAACAATTAATCAATCTTCGCATTCGCAAGTCGGTCATTGGAGCCTTGGATAACATTGGACATCCGCACGTTTTGCCGCTTGTATTTGCTGTGTTTCCGGAGCCGTTTCCGTGCGACCATAACCGGCACCGATGACTTGGTGACTAAGTAATTACTGAACGACCCGAGTAGGACACTGCCGGAGTTAGCATCCATGAATCAGGAGCGGGACTCGGAACTTACCCTTTGAGAGCGTTCCGCCCTCGAGAACCAAGAATCACAAGAGTTGGCTCCAAGAAATCAATCTATCAATGGGCTGTTAGCCAAGTGCAGCACTTCATAGAATCCAGGGCTACTCACCACTTCAGTAATCATGTGCTTGGGGCTCTTGCAGTGGAACACCTCGACCACAGCACGCACTTGTAGACGAGTCTTTCGCAGCAACTTGACACATCGGTCGGAAACCTCTACACATGCCTGATATCTGTCTTTCTCAGCCTTGCCCATGGCACCCACGTTGGCTTCAGTGGCCATGATTGAGTTTGACAATGCTGAGAACCCGGGCCTTGTTTGTGTCAGACCGTCATGGTTGGACAGAGTCCTCTTAAGATGGTCTGATTCCTGTCGCCCAGTGGTACCTTGGCTGATAGGTGCCCCAGAAGCATCAGTCGTTGCGACGCCAGTCTCCTCGTCCACAGCATAGACAGCAAGGAGGGTATCGCCATCTCGTAAAACCGTGCCGATTGTCCACTCCAAGGCGTATGCAGCCTCATCACTGAGATCGGTCGACACGAGGTATACTCGCTGTCTCCTCAATCCTTTGGTAGCATCTTCGGCAAACTGGATGTAGTTACCCCTAATAATCTGTCGAACACAGCGATGAGCTTCTGGGCTTGATTGAATAGGTGAAATATTCAGTGAAAGTTGTTGAGCTGATTTGATTTCAGCGAGCTCATCCTCGTGGTCGGAGTGAACTGGCGTAGAAAAGCCAGAGCCTCCCTGGTCGAAACTAGTGTGGGGGTGTACGACGCCCGATGAGTTTCTTCTAGACATTCTTTCGCCATTTGGACCAAGGACGTTTATGGAGGGCTCGAGCAATGACCGCACTTTGTAGGAAACAGCAACATCCCTTCCTGTCCAGGGTTAGTATTCAGATGCAACAGTTTGGCTGCAGATGTCACTTACGTTCTTGCTCTGCTGCGGCCAACAAGCTCTTAGCTGTAATAATTTCTCTTCCCATGCTGTCTGTGCCTCCAGAAGTTTTCCTAGATCGCTGCCTGCCGCGTTCTCGTTTGTTGGTCCCGTTCCACCCATCCTCCCACTCTGAACTATCAGAGCCATTTTCGCTGCTCTCTACAGCAGCGCTGTCTTCGCCGTCGTCGTCTGTGGCTAGACGGACACCTCCACCTGGGGCAGTCGACGTGCCTTTGATAGGATCAGAGCCTTTGCGGTTGGGAAGTGAAGAAAGCCCACCCTCGGATCGGGCCAAAGCAGAGTCGGAAAGTTTTCGGTACGCCGTATCCATGTCGATGCGCTTGCCTGAATCGGTCACAAGGCTGTTGTTCGAAGTCGAAGTAGGCGGGGGCGGGCTTAGCATGCGCGTTGCTGGAGAAGCAGATCTACGAGGGCCTGGAGACCCAGATTTTGACCGACCCAGAGGGCCATTTAGCGAGTTGTGTCGGTCCCTTGAGTTTGAGGAGCCCAGAAAGCCAGCCGAGCTGCCGTAGACAGTTGACATAGCGCGAGGTTTTGCAGAAGCATCGAGCTTGCCACCTTGCGACACTCTCTTGGGCATAGCATGCGCGTCGATTGAAGGCAGCATTTCAAACTTGTATGCCGACTCGGGGTTCACTCTGCGAGGCGATGAGGGCATGGCAAAGGGAATACCAGTGCTCCCACGGCTCGAGCTCCTACGCGGACCCGAATCAACGTCTAACATGCTGCGAACCGGCGAAGCAAGTGGGTTGGGGCTTTGCGCGCGTGCGGTTGGGCTTTCTGCGCGTCGTCCTCCGGGCTTCTGGTTGCCCTCGAGGAGTTTTACAACCTCTCTCATCTCCTCATCGATGGCAGCTTCGAGCGAGGCCATGGTAGCGGTGGGTGCAGGGTCGATGCGTGGTGAGGCGGTAGTGGGTTCAGGGTCGTGTGCCGGGGTCGGCGTGATGCGTGGCAATGTGGCAATTATCGCAAAAAGATGGTAGTCGTGTTCGCGGGGTAGCTGGGGTGTTTGGGGGCGTCAATTGGAGTTGTGCTATGGCATCATAGGCACAGCTAGCTGCTGTCTGATGTGCGAGCTACAGATGCCAGCCACCCCGTACCAAATGCTGGCCGGTCCGGTCAGGGTGTGTGTGGGGTGAGCGCGTGATGGTACTAATGCCAGCAGTGGGGTAACAATTCCAAAGACTGTAGCTGAAAGCAATGGCGGGCCGATCCGTCGTACTGTATGTAGCTAACCGCTGTCGGAGAACAAGTTGTTCCCTAGCAGATTGATGGATGCCGACGACATATGGAAAAGGAAGAGCAAGCTCGAGACAAGAGGGCTCCTGGGGGCGGCGACAGTCAGCGCGAGTCGACGGTCGCGGATGCTCTTGGTCTAGGCGGTGGGAAGTGGGCATCGGACCATCCATCCCTCCAGCATCTGGCGGTTTGACAAGCCTTGGCACGCGAAGATCACCACTGCGCTCTGCCTGTGCCGCTGGCGCAGGGACTGAGATGCGGCATGCAACAGAACAGGAAGCGTCTCCGACTGTCTGCTATCTATACAGGCACAGCGTCGCTTCGCCAGCTGTCGCGTGGGCACCTCAGTCCCAGCCTCATCTTGCCTCGTCTAAGCATCACATGTGAAAGGAGCCTGTGGCAGAATACGGGGCCGCGTGGAGCAAGTGTGCATGTGGCTGTGCTGACCCATGACGACCTATGCAGAGACATGTACTCGCCCAGTCTCTAGCCGGAGCACTCGTAGAAATAATGTACATTGGTGCGTTACTAACGGCACGTTGTGTTCTGCTAACTAATAATTTTTACCTCTTCCTGGGAAGCACAATGTTAGCTCGCGCCGCAACGCCGAGCTTGTGAATGGCGTTGCGCCTGTCCCAAATACCGCTGGTGCCCTGGACTACTGCAATAAGCTCTTGCGCAATTCGCTGGGCAAAGCTGTTCTTTCCACTGCCCATGTTCCTCCTCTTTGAGGCAGCCGCCATGATCCACTGGATGGCTGCGCGCCGTCGTTGCCTCTGACCCAGCGGCACAGGGATCTGAAGAGCGACACCTCCTCCGGCTGCACCTCTCTGACTTCGAATGCGCATCAGGGGCGCGACCGAGTCAATGGCCAGTGTAAGGTAGAGGACGGGGTTGAGAGGAAGGTGTGATGGCGGAGGCGCACCGGGAAGCAGTGGCCTGGAGGGGTTGATTGTGGGGATGGGCGATGTTCGGAGGTGTTGGAGGATCAATGCCATGTTCTGTTGTTCTTGTTGTTAGATGTATGTACGCTAGATTGTAGTACCGAGATGACGTACCCGCTCTGCAACGCTCTTCTTGCCGTGTCGCATGAGCAGATTGGTAACCTGGTCAACAACTGGATCATGGCGATGTTTGACATGGCCGTCTTTTGGTAGTGGCAGAGTGGGCATGTCGAACTTGAGACCTGGTATGGCGGGTGCTTTTGAGGCGTTCTGGGTATTGATTAGGCCCATATCCAATCCACTGTTGCCGTTGGTCTGAGTCGTCATGGTCGAGTATGACCGTGAGCCCTTTGGCGCTCCATTTGGTGTTGTCTTGGAATTTTGAGAATTGAGCTTGTCTTGCATAACCTTGGGTAGGTTTTCTTGCGCAGCCTTGTCACCTTTGACTACCTAGGCGGTTGTCAGCATACCCACAGCCATGCACAGTGAACCGGACATACATCTTCAACTGGAGTGCCCTGGCTGAGATCAGGTCCCTCCTCGCCCATGGTCTTGGCCAGGGCAGCCGCCTCTTCGGAGACATGCTCAATGGGTTTTGCATCTTCTCGCTTGGAGCGGTCCGCGGCTGGTGGTTTGGCTGAATCAGAATACAGGCGCCATTGCGACGATGGCAGTCGAAGTGCTGATCGGGCAGGGCATTGCACCTGGGGCCTCGGGCGAAAGGCAATTGGTCGCGTGAAGGCAGCAATATTTAATCTTGGCGGCATCGTGGGGTGTTGTGTGGTGGGCGGAGAAGTTACAAAGTGACGATGCTGAATATTCCAGTTCCGGCCAATGTCGCGCCGGGCGGCCCGTGCGCCATACGTCAAGTAAAAAGAGCAGCTTGCAGACTGTGATCACTCTACCAGCTTCAACATCAGCCTGCAAACGGTCGCATAGCACATGCTTTTGTTGCCAGGATTTAGCTAACGCATCGGACTAACTACAGCTTTGTTATATTTGGGACCGCAACTGTTGCAACTGCAGCAGCAGCACCTTCGATGAGAGGTGTGAAGGACGATAGGTCACAATTGAGCTTCTCGGTTTTTGCTATTTCTCTCTTTCCAGGTCAACATTCTCCTAGTCTATCGCATCATCTCTCAACGTCTTTCGTCATCAATTTTTCTTTCACGCAGTCATCGATATTGTTTCCTTCTGTCCTTCCTTCTCGAGCATCCAGACATGCTACACTCACTCACCCCGGAGCCCATGTCGGCAGCGAGGGCCTTTTCGCCGCCTTTACCGCGATAAAAATATCCAGTCTTCTCTTTATCGCGCATTCTAAAGTGGGCTTTGGAAAGCGCATTGAGCAATGCTCAACGTATGAGGAGGGCACATGATTATTGCTTTTTGCTGGGGCAGCTCCGACGGCGCTAGCGTTGGCTATGGCACGCCACCACCAGTCGCTCTATCGCACTGCCATGGACGATGCCGATGCCGATGGCGTCGTTATTTTTTGTTTTGTTTTGGCTGTGCGTGTCTTGCGCTGTCTCTACACGGTGGCGGAGAAGCGGGGTGGGACTTTGCATACACAGACATGTATGTATACACTACACAGGCAGGCGTTGAGCGCAGCGAGTCTGGGCGATTCCCAGTGCCAGCGCCAGTGCCCGTGCCCCGCCCGCCCGCCGTGCTCGCAGCAAGTACAGTAGCATTGGCATAGTTAGTATCCCTCCCCCTCCCCCCGCGCGCGCTGGGCGTGTGTGGCTGGAGCCAATCGGAGGGGCGCAACCCCGCATGGCGTACCACGACGGTCGTGGTGGGAGAGGGTAAGACTGGATGTAATATGGCAAGTATCTTTAAGCTCCTGTCACGGTCGCCGCATGCATCGTAGGCGTGCAAGGCGGGCGCAGCATGGCGAGCGGCAATCCGCCAGCAGCCGTCAGTCTTCCCCGCACTAGGCCGGAGAGACGACAGCCAACCATGTGACCATCCAGCCCAGCCACTCTTGTTTCACCCCGCTGCAGCGGTAGGCAGGCAGTGGGCAGACTGGCAGGCAGCACGCTGGCCGCCGTTGATCTTGCACACCCGGCCTAATTAGCTTATCGCAGGCCAGAGAGAGCGGTGACGGGCCCGCTCCAGCCTGCACTGTACTCGCACCATGAGCGCATTCCCGCTCGCCCTTCTCTCTTCTCTCTCAAGCTCACTTGCCCCAAGCGCTAGGCACCCTCGACATTGCTGCAAGGTGCTCGCCCCGATTGTCGCGTCACAAGGGTGCTCCCCGTGTGCCTGCAGACCCGCAGACCCTCGACCTAGTGGACCCAGCGTACTTACAGTAATCCCGATTGCGCACCAGCCTCCTCCCCTCCACACCCTCCGTTATCGATACAGCAACTGCAGCCCACCACGGCGCACCCCAGCATGATTGACACAATGGATCGCGGGAGTCTGTATGAACACGACATCCCCTCTCTCAGCGCCTCGCTCGAGGCTTTTGACCCCGAGCGCAGCATGCACTCGGCCTACAGCAGCCGCTCCAACATGCACTCGTCGCGATGGAGCGTACCCCAGGACGACCCAGACTCCGAGACCGAGTCGGACGGCCCTTGGGCCCCTCCAGCCTGGCAGAAATCACAGTCCAGCAACCACTGGTACCGCAAGTCGCTGCTGGGCGAGAGCGCAATGCGCAACAGCCCCTCCAGGTCGCCATTCGACTACCGCACTGATCGCGAAGTCACTCCCTCGCGCATACCATTGCCCGAGTCGCCATACAAGCAGACGCCGCGCACAAGTCCAGAGCCCATACCAGAAGAAGAACAGAGGTTCCTGTCCACCAGCATCGCCTCGCGCCTCCAGAGTCCTGTCGTCGTCGACGACCACCCCACCCCGCCCACTCCAAGCCCATGCGCGCTCCCAGGAAAGGAGCTGGAGCTGTCGCATCATGACCAGGACGGTCTATCAGAGGGTTGTAAGTCGTCCCTACCAATGCGCGCTGTAGAAACTGACAGCCTTAGTCATGCGCTTTGCTTACAGAGGAGAAGCCAAGTTTCGTACCGCACCCATTGAAGAAACCATTTCTACTTTTGCCAGTGGCCTTCACATCTTCACCAAGTCAAGAGCAAACGTCATTCTTACCGTTGCAACTGTCCTGCTGTCATGGATCCTTCTGCAGCCCTGGACAGCCAGTCTAATTCCAGACGTCGCAAACGTCGCCAACATGGCCAAGCAGTTTGAGCCGCTTCTCTACGCGTCCGAAAATGTAATACCGCGGTCGCGCGAGCTCGCAGAGGCAAGTATCGCTGTCCAAGATTTAGGAGAGAGCGTTCGAGCGACAAATATGTCGGCGTCCTCGGTCATCATTGACCAGCTCGACGACTTGGGCGACAGCCTCAAGATCTTGTCTGAGAAGATTACGAGCTTCTTCACAAACGTGGACGGTGATATGGACTCGTAGGTATACATCGCTCGACGCTCACACACCCACTAATGATTGTAGCATCCTTATCACCATGGAGTGGGCCAAGCGCGAGTTGCAGAGCATACAAGGCCCCAAGATTGGTGTGATTGATACAATCATCGGAAACGTGCATGGCGGTCTGAGCAAGATCGGCCTGCTTGAGCGCAATGGATCCCCCACTGCAATAGGGCGTGTGGTAAATGATGTTCTCGGCCACACTACCCAGCAGCGCTCCAAAGCCACTCTGCAACG